GAGCACTACAGTCAATCACGAGCGGGCTGCAGATACCGCGAGTGTGTGGTCTCTTCTTCAGAGACCTGTGCTCTTGTCCGTGACCGCTGCAGCTACCACGAGCGAGCTGCTGATACCGCGAGTAGGTGACCTTACGGGACTTCGGATACCCGCGTCTTCACACCCGACGCGTCCACTAGCTCAGTACATACGCAATAAGCAATACACTCGGTTTCAATCTCATTATTCGCGTACGTCGCCGGCACGGCGGAATCGCTCGACTACTAGGTGCTCACGCACTTCGCGGCTAATCCCTTCCTAGCTCCCTGGAGCACTTGCACACTTCGGCGTGAATCTAGAACTGATTCACCTTCTTCACGTTGAACGCCATGTTCACGTCGACTTCGTCGTGCCTCCCCTGAGTGTCGTCCATCTGCGCGTTGGCATCTGCGTCGTACCACTGTCTTCTTCTGTCTTCGCTCGAAAGGACGCGGGCAAGATCCTCACATCCGTGGGTCAGCCTCGGCAACCCGTCAGACTTCAACTCGTCTCCGCTCTCCGCCGTCTTCTCCTTCTCGTTGTTGTTCATGTAATTCTTACGTCTTCTTGCTCCACTTGAGAACCTGCATCTTCCAAGAGGATGTCCGTCCTCTTACTCTCTTCCCCTTTCCATTCGAAACGTCCTCGATTCGCACCGTCGATTGTGATTCGTTTTCCCACTTAATCAGTTGCCGCAATTCTGCTCCTGTCACGTATTGTTGCCGTGCTGCGGTCTCTCTGTCCTCTTCGATCGTCATCCCGCTCACTCCGAAGTATTCCTTCGCGCCACAGATGTTCAAAGTCTTTGAAGTTGATCCACAATCGCTCTGGTCTTCCTCCGTCATGTCGATTTCCCAGGCGTTCCACTTCGAATTTCAGTACGTTACGCCCCGTACGGCATCTGTACCTTCGCCTTCTACGCTCCACCACGGTGTCGGTAGGTCCAATTCTGGCGAGACGTGAGTGTGTAGATACGAGGCTATCAACCCCTCGACGACATCTACTGGCAAAGACATAGACCCTCGGCACTTCGTCTTCTTCGTGGGCGATCCGTCGGAGTTCTCATTCAAGTTCCTCGAGCTCATGCTGCTCTCGTTGTCGCACATGTCCGCTGCGGACCTTATGACTCCCCGGTTCTCTCGCGGTTTGTTTGCTGCCTTCACCTCCTCTGCCATAGCCAGTGCCGCCTTGACGTTCCGATCCCACAGGTACTGTTCTCGTTTCGCTCGTTCGAGTGCCTCCAGGGACTTCTTGCTCGCGTCCTTCGGCGTCTTCGCGTTCCCGTCCGCGGTAGGGACCTCGTCGAATCTTGGAACGGGTTCTGCTGGAGACGTTACCGTCTCCTACCTCGAGCCCCACTCGTCGTCCGTCGTGCTCTCGTTGCCATCTGCCATTTGCTGTCGTGGGTGCTGGCTCGCCATCAGGTTCTTGCTGCCCGTCGACTTTCTGGTTCGCCGTCACCCTCGCTCTTGCGCTCCGTTCCGTACAGGTCTTTGGTCTCAACTGGCGAATCCACAATTGCCGCTACTGGTGTTCGGTTCACATCAGTCGGTAGTTTTCTATCAGTCTGTGTCTCTTCCTGTCTTATTCACGTCCCAGAGCTGCCTTCCTGTCTCATTCTCGTGTCTGAGCTGTCTTCCCCATCTGAGGCTACATCGGCTGCTGCGATAACTTCGTCTCTCAGGTTTAGTGCTATGTCTTGGGCCATCTCCTCCATCAGGGGCGTCGGGTAATAATAGCTCAACAGGAAAGAGCAGTGGATCACTAACTCATGTCCTAATTCCAGCTTCTCCACCAGGTAGTTATCATAACCAGCTGCCTCCACAATTTTTCCAGGTCCTCGCCATCGGTGTCCAAACTTGGTGATCCCTGAACCCTTCGCTGGACGGTAGACCCACACAAGTTGTCCATCCCGAAAGTTGCTTCCTCTTCGTACGTTGCGTTGGTTATCATACATGGCTTGTCTCGCCTGTTCTTTCTCCAGTGCTACTGCCACTAATTCTTGCGCTTTCTGCAGGTCCTGCATCAGGACTTCGTGATAGTTGTCCAAGGTGCTATGAGGAAACTCGAATCTGCTTCTGCGCACCAGCTCCGCTGGGGTACGTAGCTTCCTTCCCATAATCAGCTCATTTGGTTGATAACCGTGCGTCGTGTGTCTCGAGAAGCTGTAGGCGTACAACGCACTCGGTAAGACATCGTCTAGTCATCCTGTTGCTCGTCCACGTACAGGCTAATCATGTCCTTCCACGTTCGGTGGAATCGTTCAACGAGTCCAAGCAAATTCGGTCGGTACGGTACATGTGTAGACCGCTTCGTTTGCATTAGCTCCAACAGATCTGCTGTCATCTTGCTACCAAATTCGTCCATCATGATCTCACGCATTGGCCCAAGCAACAAGACAACCTTCCTCTTTAGAAATCCAGCGATCGCCTTTGACGTGTGATCCTTCACTGCCACTGCTACTGCATATCGAGTGGTGTATTCCACGGCCGCAATGACGAATCGATTGCTTTCTGCTGTTTCTGGTAACGGACCCGCTACGTCAACAGCCCAGCGATCTCCTACTGCTCCGGCTCTCACGCTCCGTAATGGTGGTACCACGGATTTAGGTCTAGCCATCTTCGACCCGCAGTCTTGACACGCGGAAGTCCAACTCTGAACGGCTTCCCGCATCGGTGGCCACCAGTACATCCGCCGCAATCTTTCCATCGTCTGTGGCCCCCTCAAATGTCCGGCCCACATGCTGTCGTGAGCCTCTTTGAGCGCTAGTGCCCAATAGATCGTAGGCAGGATGATCCGACTGCTTTCAGACTTCAGCTCCACCCGTACAAGCCCATCGTCGTCAACAAGCACACGCTGCCCTCGGTAAGTTCCTCTCTCCTTCAGGGTATTCACCATCATTGACTTGCCCTGTTCTCGTTTGATGTCTTCGTCTGTGAATTGGACAGCTCCCAGCTCGGCTGCTTCTACTCGCTGCACTGCCGCTGGTCGTGTGAGGTGCCTAATAGCGTCACCGATGCCTGCCTCCAACTCCGTGGCCTTGCTCTCTTCGTCATCGTCTCGTCCGATCATGGGGTCGTCTGCATTCTTCCTCTGGTTATCAGCCCCGTCCCCAGGTCAACCGGTTCTCTAGACAGCGCGCCCGCTACATGGCTCTCGCGACCAGGCCGATATTAAATATCAAAGTCATATTATCCTGCAGCGTAAGTGCCCATCTGTGTAATCTTGCAGCCGGTTCCTTTGTCGTCATCAACCACTTCAATGCCACGTGATCTGTCACTATGGTATAGATGAGGTCGGAAAAGTCTCACTGCTCAATCCACTGCCAGACATACAAGCTCCGAAATGCTATAGTTCGCCACTGTTGGATTGTTCACTTTAGATGCATAGGCCACCGGTTGATCTCCGTGCCCCTGGTCCTGGGATAACAGTGCTCCCAACCCCGTCTTCGAGGCGTCCGTAGTCAGTTTGAAAGGAAGCCGATAATCAGAGTATATCAGCACTGGCTTTTGACTCAGCCTTGCCTTGGCCCAGGCGAACGCTTCCTCTTGTTCTGCCCCCCATCTCCATTCGACTTGCTTCCGCAATAAGCTGGTCAAGGGCGCCATCTTGGTGCCAAATTCAGGTACAAATCGTCGGTAGTAACCCGCCAGGGCTACAAACCTCCTCACTTGGGCGTCGTCCGTCGGTTTCGGGAAGTCCACTATGGCTTTAATAAGCCGTGCAGTAGGCTGTATCCCCTTCAGTGCTAGGTCATGCCCTAAGTACTCTATCTGGGTCGTTGCGAATGAGCACTTAGACGCCTTCAAGCTCAGCCCAGCGTCCGCCAATCTCTCTAGTACCACCGCCAATTCCACTTCGTGCTGGGCCACTGAACCTCTGGTGAAAATGATCACATCGGCCAGGTATACCAAGCAACCGATTCTCGTGAGTCCTGGTAGTACACAGTCCATCCGTCGTTGGAAGGTGCTGGGTGCGTTACAGAGTCCAAAAGGCATCCGTGTGAATTGGAAGAGCCCCCTCCTCGTTGTAAACGCCGTCTTCGGTTTGTCCTTCTCAGCTACCCCCAACTGCCAATATCCTGCGTGTAAGTCCAAGCTGGAGAACCTCTGAGCTCCCTGCAGGGCTTCCGAAGTCTCGTCCACTCTTGGTAGCGGGTACACGTCCTTGATGGTCACTGCGTTCAAGGCCCTGTAGTCGATGCAGAACCTGACGCTGCCATCTTTCTTCTTGACAATCACCACTGGGAATCCCCAGGCGCCTTCACCATACTCGATCGCACCTTGATTCAGCATCTCATCCACCTTTTTGTCGATCAACTCGCTCTCGGCCACCGCATGTCGGCGCCTCCGCATCATGATCGGAGCGGCATCCCCTGTGTTAATGTGGTGTTCCACGCCTATTGTCGCCAATGGTGGGCATCCCTGCTTCTTCTCCACTATCTCCGAGTACTGCCTCAACAAAGCAACCACCAAGCCCTTGTTCTTCGGCTCCATCTCGCCAATGTCTAATTTGGCTTCACCCTTGAGGGGCTTAGCATCTTCCTTTTGCAGCGTCTTCACCCACTTGGCTACGCCCTCCCGCTCTAGTTCATCGTTCAGCTCCAATAGCTGCATATATTCCGTCACGGGTAATCATGTGCCCAGAGCTTCTCTCGCTGGCAGCTTTTCTCGCCGACCTTCCACATTCATCACTGAGATTCGTACCATCCCAGTCCTCACAGTGTCAATCGTGGGCACGAGCAACATATGTCTTCTATGGTTCGGCTTCGGTACGAAGATCCGTTCCGTGTCATCCTCCGCATCCACTCGCATGTGAACCACATTGTTGGTGCTATTCGCTAGCCTCCAAGTTTTAGCCAGACGAACCATCACCTTCCTAGGCTGCAAGCTTGTAGCCCCATGGCACCTAAACGGCCAAATCACCTTCTCTCCAGTGTAGCTCATGTATTTCAGCTCTCACTTGCGGAAGTCCATCTTGATCTGGTGCTGCACCATCCAATCTTCCTCGACGGGGAGCTCATCTCCCTGTCCCTCCACTAGAAGTGCGTCGACTTGTATTCTTTGCTGGAGCGGTGTAGTGCTCACAAATCTCCAAACTCCCAGGCCTCGGCTGATGCCTACGCCAAATCCTTCCACGATGTCTGCTGGTGCGCTCCGCATGATGCATCGGCCATACTTCGTCAGTTCTTCGCCGGCTACACTGTACGGGGCGCAGCTACTCAGCCGAACCTCTTGCGTGTGTTTCCGTGTCAATGCCAGCAATGCCGTAGGCAAACAGTTCAATCCATCACTTCTAACTGCTCGTAATTGTGCGACTCTCACTTGGTTGCAATTGCCGTCATTCTAAGTTCCACATCGCCGTAGCACCCATGTTGCTTGTACTCGTACGTACGCCGTGGCTTCTTCCGCCCTACTGAATTCTTCTTTACTGGCTCAGCGCCTCCCGATAGTAATCCTTTCCGTTGTTGAAGCCGTCGAAGCCGTCTCGCGAACCGGAAACGCTTGGCTTTCCTTACTGCCTCCCGTCTGGCAGATCGCATCTCTACTA